TTTCTCACTTATTTCCTCGGTTGATGTTAAACAATTTCCGCCGTTCACGTGCGTAGCGCCCTTAGAACGATTCTTTAATCGTTTAAATTGCTATTCCTACATTGTTATTAAGACGTTCCGTGGGCCACGTTTTCAGCAGGCTTTCGGGGCCCTACCTACGGCGTTGCGTTGCGACGTTCACGTTGACGTCAGCCTGCCGGAGGCTTCTGGCGTCCGCGATTGTGCGATGAGGTGGTGGGCATAAGGCACGTTTCCACAGAGTTATACATATCCTCTTGTCTCGTTATCATTTAGAGCCCTTTGTCAATCCACCGCTGCGTAAAGGCACCAACCACACACCGTGTCGCTCGTCGGCGGGTTAATAAGGTTGCCGGGTGTCGGCAGGTCCGATTGAGATTTCGCTTGCAACTACCAATGTTAGCCACGGCCGGGAACCAAACTCGGGGACACCAGTCTCACGCATTTACGTTGAACTTCTTTCGCACCGTACGTCGCTAACCGTGCTCATCGGAGGTGCGATGGTGCAGTGCACGAACTATGTCGCCACTCCTTTGCGGGTGATTGGACATCATTCGGGGGGGGGGGGATAAAAAATCAAAACACGATGCGATTTCATGAATCACTCGTCAATCACTCGTTTGAATAGCAGTTGTGGCAAGGGCATTTGCCACTCATGCCAACACAATTTTACTTTCAATCTCATGTTTGTTTTACTTCACTGTCCGGATGACACTGTTGGCAGCTTCGGAAAGAAGACCCCATTTCGGTCCAGCAATTAATTCCTCTCCACTTTGCCCGCTTGAGTAGCACCCCGTGCTATTTAATGAGGATTCGCTCGCCAGCGCAGCGTTCAAGGCTATAAAACAAACGCCTTGTGGAGGCGGGTGGCGGTGCTGTTGGCGCGCTCGCCTATTAACACGGCGACCTGCGTTCAAATCCCCGGTCACGGCTGACGCCAGTTGCGAACGATATCTGAACTGGTCCTTGACTTGCCCACCGACTGAAATGAGTGCGACATTACTGAGTCCCTTATGAGGCCGCACTCATTACACACAAAGTGATTGCCACAAATGAATCACAATACTTTGTTGAGCTCGTCAAGAAGCATAAACCGTCATGCAAGCTGCCGGTCATCCTCGCAGCGGCTTTTGGCTGAGCCATCGGACAAAAACGGTGGGTCACCGCATCGCGCGATTTCAGATGCGCTTCTGCGGCCGTCTGGAACGCTCTTTCCTTCCGAGATTAGGAAGCCACTGGAGCTATGCACTTTTAAATCATCATCTAGATTGAAGACTAATTTCTATAGAACTGGTTTTTTTGTGTGTGTTTAGTTATCCTTAAAGGCACATCCGATGAGCACGGTTGGCTACGTACGGTGCGAAAGAGGTTAAGCATACGTGCATCCATCTCCCTTCACTAATCCGCACATGTAGTAGCTACTACATATGTTGCAGCTACTACATATGTAGCAGCTACTACATATGTTGCAGCTACTACATATGTTGCAGCTACTACATATGTTGCAGCTACTACATATGTTGCAGTTACTACATATGTTGCAGCTACTACATATGTTGTAGCTACTACATATGTCGTAGCTACTACAAATGTTGTAGCTACTACAAATGTAGCTACACATGTAGCTACATATGTAGTAGTAGCTACACATGTAGCTACACATGTAGTAGCTACACATGTCGCTACTACATATGTAGTAGTAGCTACGGCCCTCGCACTTTCAAGGGCCCCGCACTAAATGATTTCAAGCTATCAATTCCGGTTCAGTGATTCTGCACTTACTCTATTACTATAGTACTATACCGCCTTCAACTTTTATGAACGGCTGGGTGTTTAAGGTTAGCGATTTGTCGTATTATCTGGCAGTATAGCAAGTGAAAAAATACAATCACTTTACTGTGCAGGTAAAAAAATGTGTTTTAATATCTACGTTTTTTTAAATTTAGGGCCCCTTTATAACATCATGCTACAGGCCACACACCAGCTTACTCCGGCACTGACTCATATCATGAAAGACGATGAATTTGAACACATATCTCTGACCGAATTCGCGAGCACAAATCAGATCTGAAACACGGCAGAACGAATTCATCTGCTGTGGCTGATCATTGTTACAACGCTATGGGTGATCATGAGATTGTCTTCTCCGATACCAAGGTTCTCTGTAAACCTACAGGTTATCACCAGAGATTTGTCCACGAAGCCATTCAGATATACAAACACAGACATAACTTCAACCGAGAGGATGGTTTCAAATTAAGCAACCATTGGAAAGACGTTTTAAATCAACCAAACGTCAACTAATTTCTAACAGCAATTTGAAGTAATGGTATACCAAGCTTATTCCTTCCGAAATTTCTATTAAACCATTTTTTCTACTCTCCCCTGACAGCACATTCTTGCCAATCTTCATTTTTTTCCGTTTCTATTGCACACACACAGTGACCCATCCTCCGCACCCTCTACACAACAAAAACATGCTAATCCCCCAGCTAATTTTCTGACTTTAACACCCTGCTGTTTCAACACTTTAACACAGCTATTTCTGATATGTAAACTCCTTTGTCAAGGGCGCCCTGCCCCTCCCACCGAGCTTAAAAAAGCCGCTGCGAATCTTAGCAGCGGTCATTGAAGCGCTGTCGTCCCGACAGTTCCGTTCCTTCACCTGAAGAAGGCCACTTGTGTTGTGGCCGAAACGTCGTGATTTTTGTTGTTTTATTTTTTTTTTACCTACGTGACTTTACCGAATAGAACCAAAGAGTATGGATTTGAACACGTGCGCGTGTGTGCTTCTGTTCGGCACAGACCCAGTGATCCCGCCCCCCCGCCCGCCCGCCACATCCTTGACAAGCGTCGCTCGTTGTTGGCCGATGTCCGCAACACGCTGTGAGCGCGAGTGGACAATACAACGATGCGCCTATGACAGGACGATCCATTTATAGATCCCCCGTCCCATTGATGTCGAGTGCGATCTTCACTTCTCAACAGCTGGTTGAATACAGGAACACCCCCGATTAACGTCGTCGCTACCCCCCACACCCCGCCCCCCCCGATGCACCACTCCACTGCTTCTGACGTGACTGTCTGGGCTTCACCACCTGAATGTGAAATTGTAGTCGTTCGTTCTGCACCGACATCAGCCGTACGAAAGAATAAAGACTTTTATTATTATTATCACCGCCGCCTTAATTCGCGTCGCCTCAACCCACACGCACGTGGCTGACCGCAATCATCGTCCGTCGTGTCTCGTTATCCGTCGTCTCTCAGCCTTGCGTCTTCGATATTCGCCGTCGCACCGTTCAGGAACGCATCCCCGTCCTAAACCGGGGTACTGCTGTACTGTGAAAGCGGTGGTTTCCCGTAACGTGGGGGCGGGGGAGAGCTCGTGGCGTGCGCATCAAAGGGTGTGTTCCGATTGGTGGGGATGAGGTGCAGTGAAATGTTTTTGGGGGCCGTCCATAAATGACGTCACGCGATTTTTGACCCCCCACCCCCTAGTCACACGGCGTCACAAACAATCAGACCCAGACCCCCACCCCCCTGAAATATGACGTCACAAAGCTCTGCCCCCCCCCCCCCAAAAAAAAGTAAACATGCTTCAAATCGCTTTAAGCTATTGTCATTGTAGTGCGTATTTAATGTGGCGCTGCACTCTGATGTTGTAGGAGAAAACATTTATTAAAAAAAGTGTTGTCTATTTATTTAAAGTTGCGCATTTTGATGTGACGTCACATTTCTCACCCCCCCCCCCCCCTCGTCACACATCGTCACAAATGTCTAACCCCCCCTAGGTGCGTGACGTCATTTATGGACGGCCTCTTTCGGCATCTTTTCACGTCTCCACATTGTCACGTTAGTCGGATGTCTCTGCATGGATCACATTTGTATAGTAAACGTCAGTTGCTCGCACAAAATTAATTCATTTCAATAATATTTCTGTTTAAATATAGCACGTAGCGACTGGACATCTGTGAAACTACTTGATATCTGTTTAACACGTAGGCTTTCGCGACCAATATTATTCATAATAAAGGTTTTGGGTTAGATCGCGTTATTTATAAATGTGTCGTAACCCTCCACCACCCGACACGGCCAATCAGCAAAAAAAAGGTGTCACGTTGACAAAAGACAAATAATTCACTACTTTAGCCCACCGGTGTGTTGAAGAGTGAATCCACAACATTTACAGTTTGAGTACGACGTTTCGCTGGTAAATACATCCAGCATCATCAGGCAATTCGCCAGAATGCTAAAGCCCTTACTTGCTCCCGGTCTTAAATAGAGCAGCAATCATATAATCGATTAGTAATCAGTCAATGGTTATGATTAGTAATGAGTTGTAAATTAGTAATTAGTTGTAATGTGTGTTAGTGATTATATGCTATGTTATACAAATACTGCACGTAGAAAAAAATACAGTGGAGTCGCGTTGGGGGGAAGCAATAGAATAATAGAATATATATGTTTGTTGTTTTGTTGTTTCCCTTCGGCGTGGCTTTTGCCGAGGGAGCTAAGAATATGAATGCACATTACAATTCCTTATAGGGGAAACACATACTAATTAACGGATTACTAACTTAGCATATAATCACTAACACACATTACAACTAATTACTAATCTGCAACTCATTACTAATCATAACCATTGACTGATTACTAATCGATTATATAATTACAATACCCCCCCCTCCGCCTCTAATCACTGCACCTGATATGAGTTAAGTGATGACGTCACCCTGCTGCTCTATATAAAACCGGGAGCAAGTGAGGGCTTTACCATTCTGGCGAATTGCCCGATGATGCTGGATGTATTTACCAGCGAAACGGCGTACTCAAACTGTAAATGTTGTGGATTCACTCTTCAACACACCGGTGGGCTAAAGTAGTGAATTATTTGTCTTTTGTCAACGTGACACCTTTTTTTGCTGATTGGCCGTGTCGGGTGGTGGAGGGTTACGACACATTTATAAATAACGCGATCTAACCCAAAAACCTTTATTACTTGACATCTGTGAAAAAAAGCTTTATAGCTCATCGGATTCCTCCAGTATAAATACATCTTCTGATTCTGAAATTGTACCGAGAACCGTGCGCGACTTATATAAATCACGCAAGCACAAATACTGCACGTAGTATAAAAAATACATTTACGTGAACATCGCAAGAACTCATGATGGTCCGCCCTCGTAAATGGCAATTGAATAATAATAATACTTTGTAAAGGAGTTGCAAACGTTTGTACCTCAACAGCTATAAAAGAGTAGTTTCAGGAGTTTAAATAACCTCGCTTTTGAAAAGTTACCCTGTGTGCTTGGGAACTGTGAGCGATATTGACGCAGCCTCCTCTTGTCGATGCATTCATCACGAGTAACAAAACAGTGTCGTAATTTCTGGACTTCATAAGTTTTTTTTATCATTCACACCGTGGGACTCGTTTATTCTGTCCTAACCACTCGGGGACTCTGCTACTAAACGGTATCCCCCACACTCGCGTTGCGTTGTAATCGTCGACCCTCTCTTAACTCGAGTAAATGAACTCCTGATTATTGAAAGGCGTGAGGATGAGGGGGTGACCAAAGCCAGGTGACTTGTTATTCGGCTTTGAACAACGTTGCTTTTGATTATAACAATGTATGATTGTACCAATGCATGGTTGGAACAATGCATGGGTATAACAATGCATGGTTAAAATGATGCTTGAGTATAACGATGCATGGTTATAACAATTAATGGTTATAACAATGCATGATTATAACGATTCATGAGTATAACAAGGCATGATCATAACAATGCATGGTTATAACAATGCATGATTATGACGATTCATGAGTATAACAATGCATGATCATAACAATACATGGTTATAACAATGCATGATTATGACGATTCATGAGTATAACAAAACATGATCATAACAATGCATGGTTATAACACTGCATGATTATAACCATGCATGATCATAACAATGCATGGTTATAACAATGCATGATTATAACGATTCATGAGTATAACAATGCATGATTATAACAATGCATGCTCATAACGATGCATGATTATAACACTGCATGATTATAACAATGCATTATTATAACAATGTATGATTATAACAACGCACGATTACAACAACGCATGATTACAACAATGGATGACGTAGCCCAGCGCTGCATTGATTTCTATTTAATTCAAACGTTCGCATAAACGAACGTGACCCGAGTTCACGTTAAATTTTTCCTGACTACAGGCAAAGGCACAGTCTCCTCGTGAGCCTCCCTCCGAAAACAGCGACTGTAGTTCAGTGGTTTGTGGATTTGCTCTTCCCTGCATTTCGAGTAAGTTGGCGCGGGACCTCTGTCTTCCTTACCGAGGGCCCAATAGGAATTTCAAAACACCCCTTTTGGTGAGCCACACAGCGGGCACGCACCCCCCACCGCCCCCATCAGTCGCTCCTTCCATTTCTAATCGATCATTATCACCTCCGACGAAGCGCGGTTGGCTACGTACGGTGCGAAAGAAGCTCAGCGCACCGATGTGCGATGCTCCCGTCATCAGCAAGTGGCCTTCGCAGTGACAAAAACAGAGAGTTGAGCGAGCGAGCCGCCCCCGGCATTAGAAACACAGCATCGTTGTCGGGTGCCACCTGGCTTAAGAGCGGTGGCGGCGTTGTTCAGCTGTTGTCCGCTGCTCGTCTTAAGCGTTCGCGAAGACGTACGCCGCCGTTTAAAAAAAAAAAATTGGCGGCGTCTGCCACAGCACGATTCACAGTTAGGCCTTTTGCATTTTTACAGGTCAATGTCAAAGAAGCAGAAACAATTTTAACGACTATTCGGTACAGCCCCCCGTCGGCTTACAGCTTGCACTAAAGCAAGCATACGCACACACACACAAAATAAATTATCAAATAGTCCGCAATGCCGAGTGGAAGCGCTTCGTTGCTTCCAAGAAGAGTCCTCCGCCTGAGCGAAACGCATGTAAACGTCCCCCCCCAAAAAAACGACCCACCGGCGTCCGAATTGTTCGCCCTCGAGGGAGAGAAGCCGTCGGTTACTCCTTCGAGTGGCATTCGGAACACGAGGAGTCGAACGCCGGAATTCTCACCGGAGACGCGCGTTGCCCCGAAACCACGCGTCCCAAAACTCTCGCTTGAAACACCGTGCTGCGAACAGCAAAAAAAATATATAAATCTCTGCGGCAAATGGTGCAGCTCACGTTTAATTAGTGTCGGGCTCGTGATTAAAGTCTAGGTGTCGAGCGAGACTACTTTGTAGTTTTGAAACGTGCCGGGTTCCCATCGTGTGCGACGACAAACTCGCAGTCGGAGCCGCCTTCAATCAACTTGCTAACGCAGCCTGGAACCCAAAGAATCCTCGTCTTCTTTAAATGAATAAAAAAAGACAGAGACACGGCGAGGGACGGCGACATTTCCTCCCCGGCTGATTTCACGCATCCACTATTCCTGGCGTTCCGAGAGTCCCCTGTGACGGGCAGCAGCTGTCCGCGACTCCGCTGCCGGATGACAGCACGCTGGCCAGCGCGCCGTCACCGCCGCGCTCACATTTGGAGTTTGGCCGGGATGACGAGCAGCGGCTCGCCCACGCTCGGCCTCCACATGAGCACCTGCGCCCCGTTGGCGTTGGGCGGGCCCAGCACCTCGTCGGGCACCGCGTGGAGCCACGGTGCCAGGCCGCAGCGGCACGGCGCGCCGCCGTCGCGCGTCCATCGCTCGCGACCTTCGCCGACTCCCGCGAGACCCCGCAGGGCCTCCTCCAGCCCGTTCAGCCCGTTCCCCACGCTCGGCCCGCCGCCGCCGCCGCCGCCGCCGTCGCCGCCCTCCCCGCAGCGATCCTCCCCGCGGCCCTTCGCGCCGTAGCGGCACACGCGGGGCGGCTCCTGCAGCGCGGGCCCCAAGAGGCGCGCGCGCTGCCCCAGCGGCGCCCCCGGCTCCACGGCCACGCGGAGCCGCATGCGCCACGACACCGTGGCGAGCACCACGGGCCGCGCCGCATCGCCGCCGCCGCCGCCGCCGCAGCGCGCCGCCAGCCACGACACGAAGCTCTGGTCGCGCAGCACGACGGTGAGCGCCGGCTGGCCCGGCGAGAGCAGGCAGGGGGAGGAGGGCGACGACGGGGCCGCCGTCATCGTGTTCTTGTCGTCGGCTCCGCTGCGTCCCGGCGGGGATTCGCGCGTCGCACCGTCGGGCCGCGCCGAGCCACGGTCGCGGCTGGGCGGCGTCCGTGGCGTTTTCTGGCTGCTCGTGACCCCTCCCGGGTCGGCACTGTCGGTGGTGGCGGTGTCGGTGGTGGTGTCGGTGGTGGTGGGAGGCCGTGAGCCGCACCGAGGCGGTGCTGTGACGGGCGTCTCTCTCGGCGGCCCTTGCTGCTGCTCCCTGGACGATGCTGGCATTGAAAGGAAAGACGCAGCACGCAGACGCCGTTCAGATTCACGCACGGACCATTTCGCGTTGCCGATCCAACCGCTGTGTGAGGGGGGGGGGGGAGGGGCCTCGCCTGCCCGCGGCGTGCGAGTCGCGGGGGTTATTTGGCGACGCGTCCGCCACGCTGCTCCGTGCAGCTCTGTGCAGCCAGGCCGCGTAAAATTGTTGCAGCATATAAGTGCGGTCCAACAATGGATCTTGCTGCAAGGCAGGCCCTCATGCTGTCCACCGCGTAAAGTTGTATTTAGCATTCTGAAAAAAAAACAAATTATTTGGTGACGCTGCTGCTGCATTGGCAGCGGTGCACACAGCACGATTAACACAAAAATAACGCAACACATTGGTCACGAACACTGTTGTGGCCTTAAAATAATCAAAATGTAAGATACTTTTAAGGCGACAGTTTTTTTTGGGGAGGGGTAGGGGAATCGCTGCTGCCGAGCATACGGGTCTCTATATTGCAAAGCAAAAAGCGCGAGTGATAATAGCATTCCAAAGCCAGTAGCTTAGAGCACCAATGGGCGCGCTTGTCTTGAACTGAAACAAGGTTACATGCGGGTAGTCGGATATCCGACTTTGTTTATTCAGGGTCTCGGCGCGAACGGATCGCAAACGTACAGTGTGCAAAGTCGCAGGGAGAAATGCACGTGTGGAACTCGACGATTGATGATGATGATGATGTTAGGAACACGGGAAGGTAAACAATGGGAGGAGGGATTTACAGAGTTTACATCTTGCAAGTTATACTGAACAGCGCGTCCTCGTTTAACGCGGTAGATGTGTTCCTGAGAAGTGCCGCGTTGAGCGAAAAAATGCGTTCAGCAAAATACAATCGCCCCATAAATGATGTCACGATAAAGTTTGGCGAGATGCGATGTACAACAACTACTGCTACACACACCGCGCAGTGAGATGCGTTATTGTACAATTCCGCATTGTATTACAGCAAGGCCGTAGCCATGGAGTCAACATTGGGGGGGACCAAATCTTCCTGGGGGTCCCACCCCCCCCAGAAAACAAATTTCCTGCCTAAAATATTAAAAAAAAATCACTAACACATAGGATGGAATTGTATTTTTTACAATAATGTCTAATAGTGTATTGTATTACATTGCTCTGTTTTTATATATATTTTCTTGTTTCATTGTATGCAATGGCAGAGATTAGGGATTAATAAAGTACAACCATAACCACAATCATATAAACAGAAATCTATTTTATAGCAATATATTGGGGGGGGGGGGTGGGGGGGCGGCATTTTGAGCATATTTGAATATTGAGGGGGATGTGTCCCCCCCCCCTCCCCCAATTTCTATTATAATTACGGTCTTGTATCACAGTACCGTTCAGCCGCGCAGCTAATGAAAGTAGTTCTTAGACGACGACCGCTCAGGAAGCTCACTCTCGGTGTGTGCGCTCCGCGTCACTTGTCGTGCGAAAAGTATTCCCGAATATAAGAACCGCGTCCCGGTGAAAACGCCTTATTATAGTGTGAACACCGCGCATTAAGCGAGGACTCAGCGTGCACGCTTTAAAAAAAAAATTCGAAAAAATTATATCTTAAACATTAAACGTGTCCACAATTAAATACCACATTCGCACTTGATACTGTGGGATGTCGACAGAGTGTACACAGATGGAAAGTAGGAAGATAATTGTTATTGTCCCTATTGTGAATAATTGCCCCTGCCAATTTGTTTAACGCGTAAATTGTGCAATAGCTAGCAAACGAATGGCCGGAAAAATAAGCGAATGAGCGAGTTAACGAATGAATAGACGAATGTATGGCTGTATGTTGAACTCCTTTCGCAACGTACCTAGACAATCGTGCGAATCGGAGGTATGGGGAAGGACAATAAACTAAACACAAAAATCTTGATTTGAAGCTTTCGTGACTGCAGGAATTCATACTCTTTGGTTCTTTCGGTAAAGTCACGTAGGTATAAAATAAAATAAATCACGACGTTTCGGGCGCAACACAAGCGTCCGTCATCAGGTGGGAAAGCTAATATCGGAAGGTAGAGCGTTCCAGACGGCCGCAGAAGGGCTTTCCCACCTGATGAAGGACCCTTGTGTTGCGCCCGAAACGTCGTGATTTATTTTATTTTATACCTACGTGACTTTACCGAAAGAACCAAAGAGTATATAAACACAAAAAAGCAGTTCTGATTTCAAAGTGGATAACTTCAGCGGCTTCCTAATATCGGAAGGAAGAGCGTTCCAGACGGCCGCAGAAGGGCACCTGAAAGCGCGCGATGCGGCTGCCGTCTTTGTTCGATGGCTCAGCCAAAAGCCACCACTCCTCCTGCTGCTGCTGCTGCTACGAGGATGACCGGATGAAAGGGTAAATTAATAAATAACCGAGTAAATCATGGGACCTCCTTTGCCAGTGTCAAAATATTAGAATTGGTTTCCCCTTTTTTTCTGGCAACAAAACAGGTGTTAAGATGTTAAAACACCGAACTGAAACCTTTTACAAGGAATCACGTCTGCATTAACCACAGAAACAAAAAGCATACTCTGACAGTATATACATTGTATACATTGTATATACTGTCAGAGCATGTTTTGTTTGTATTTTCGCCACAAGTATCTGTGGTTAATGCAGACATGATTCCTTAGATAAGGTTTCAGTTCGGTGTTTTAACATCTTAACGCAACTGTTTTGTTCCTCTTTGGTTCTTTCGGTAAAGTCACGTAGGTAGAAAACACTAATAGATCACGACGTTTCGATCGCAACACAAGCAATCGTCATCAGGTGAGACAACTACAGCAAGAAAGCTGCTGAAGTAGGCGAGAGCGCTGCCGTGACACGCGGTTATATTTTGGTATCGGCCCGTAGGGGAGAGAGATGGGGGGGGGGGGGTGGAGAGAGGGCAGGGCCAGAAAAAAGTGGAAATTCTTATAAACCGAGTGAATGAATGAATGAGTGAATGCGCGCGCCACCTTCTCTGTGTGCGGACCCCGTGGTGGCGGCGGTGGCGGCGAGCGAGACGGGCACGGCCCAGGTGACGCTCGGGTAGAAGTTGTCGCTCATGCCCAGCGAGAAGGTGGTGGGGGTGAGCGTGGGTCCTGTGACGGTGAGGACCTCGCCCGAGCTGCCGTACCACGGGTAGAGCGAACCGTCCGCGTCGCTCACCGTGCGCACTCGCCCGTCGCGCAGCGGAGGCAGCTCCCAGCTCGACCTGTCCACGCGGCGGAGGGAGGAGGAGGAGGAAGAGGCGACGGCGTCGCAGATGTCAAATCGGCACCACCCGACGGCATCGCCTCCCCACAGGAGCCACTGAACAAACATGGGACGCAAATTGGTTTCCCGGATGCGACTCGCCGACACCCGGTTAGGGCAGCGGCTCCTCGGGGCGGACGTTGCGGGGAGCTTTGTGGTCGCTCGGCGCATTCCCTTCAGCGCGCCACGGCATCTCCCAGCCGGGCCCCTGTGTACGCTTGCACGCGCAGCAGTGATGGAGCGGGATGTCTGAGCGCAATCAACCCATCAGTCGGACATTTGGTTTCACATGGCAAAGAAGGATAATTTACAAAAACTGAAACTTAAAAAACAAATGCTTTTACCAGGTAAGTCCCACTGGGGCTATTCGCTTTTCTTTTTCAGAAGCGACCTGGCCACAAATGACGGCTCGACGGAGTGGCTTATCAAGTGGACATTTATAGCCGCCAAATATTCTAAACGCGTGATGTTGATTCTAAATGTGGAGGGGAAAAAACCGGAGGACCCGGAGAAAAATCCACGTGACCACGGGGAGAACATGCAGATTCCAAATATACAGAATACATTTTTATTATTATTATCATCATCATCATGCATTGTCCATCCACTCCTGGATGAAAGCCTCCCCACACCGTCGCTGTCCCACCAGCGTGGTGAATTATGGTCAAACAGAGCCCCATGGCCTACAGGTTGCAGGTAGGCCTTGATCCATCAGCGGATTGCCAAAGATCTGAAAATTAACAGTAAAGCATACACTGTACAAATGAGGCACAACCATGCTTCCCATTAGGGATGTTCAATTCTGAATCGATTTTCACTTTAACGGGGTGGAGCGGTGGCGCAGCGGTTAGCGCGCTGCTCAATCCACAGAGAGAGTCGGTGAGGAGCGATATCTGAACCGGTCCATGGTCCCCCACCACTTTCACCAACCCACACTGACCAGCGTGGTGAAGTAAGGTCAACGAGCCCCCGTGACCGACACGGCACAGGGAAGCCTTCATCCGGCGCCACCCTGCGTTGACGTTCCCTGGGTCATGGTAAACCGCCTCTCCGCCCATCCGCCACTCGGTGGCATCGATTTTTTTGAAAACGCGTGCAGGCGGTGCAATTGCACCGAGGCCTTCCCCACAGGTTGGAGTGGGGTGGTCCCAGAGCCGGGTCACGAATAGGGAAGGAAGACAGAGGGGGAGAGGCTAGCGGGTGGGGGTCCCCCCCCCCCCCTCCACCCGCCTGAACCGCGCCACTCACAGGCCCAGGTCTCCGTAGATATTGTGGAAGGTCATGCGAGTGCACGCTTGGATCCAGCCCACGTGCCACTGCTCGGCGGCGCGCGGGACGGGCGGCACGCGCACGCGCGCCCGCGCCGTGAAGTGCGGTGTCACGTAGCGCAGCACCAGCGCCGAGTCCTCCTCGAGCCGCGTGGGGCACTCCTCGATGGAGGCGTGCACCTCCTCCAGCACGAAGTCGTCCGCTGAGACGTCCTCCCGGCTCGGGACCTGCAAACGGTCGTGGCGGGGGGGGGGGGGGGGGGTAGGTAAGAGGCGGGTCAAGACTAAAAACTCTGGCCAAACTCGAGTGGAATTACGCACGGAATATGATTTTACGTATCCATGCTCGCGCTTGGTGATATTGCCGTTCACTCACAATCATCGGTGACTCATATTCTTTGGGTCTCATTTTTTTTACCAGTGAAGGCCCCCACTGAGCTATGTAGCTCTTTTTAGAAGCGACCTGGTCACAAATGATTGCCCAACGAAATGGCTTAGCATCATGCGGACATTTATAGCAGCCAAACACCGGAGGACCCGGAGAAAAATCCACGCGACCACAAACTCCAAATATACAACAGGCGTCAAGGTCGGGACCGAACCTACAACCTCCTGCAATAGCAGGCGTCAGGGTAGTTGACGTCTCGCCACCACTCGACAAATATTTCCGTCGTCGAGTTCATCGACAAAGCGAACGCAGCGCTCACCTTATGCTCCCCGTGGAGCGCCTCCCAGCGCCCCAAGCCCCCCACGGAGCGGGGCCCTCCGTTGGCCACGACGCCGGCCCGCGGCGGTTGCAGTGGCGGCGGCCCCGGCGGTCCCCCCGGGTCGGCCCGCGTGGCGGCGATGCTCGCCACCGAGCAAGGCCCCCGCGTCCCTCCCAGCAGCGGTGCGGCGTCCAGGCTGCCCGGCTTCAGGGCCGCGCCGTAGTCGGATGTGCACGGCGGGGGGGTCACGACAGTGGACGACGAGGTCACGGCCCCGTTGGACGTGACCGCCCCGGTGGACGGCTTGCAGCTTAGACACCCCATGGTGGCAGCTGGGATACCTGGTCTAACAGAGATGGGTAGGTCTTTTATTAGAGATAGCTAAGTCTAATAGATATGGGTAGGTCTTTTATTAAAGATAGCTAAGTCTAATAGAGATGGGTAGGTCTTTTATTAGAGATAGCTAAGTCTAATAGATATGGGCTAGTCTCATAGGGATAGGCAGGTCTAATAATAGAGGCCTGTGGGTGGTTCTATGTGGCTTCCACGCGGGTGCCACACGGGAGGTTGCGTGGTTGAGCGTTCTGGCTCGGGTCGGTGGGCCTGCAGGCTCAATGGCTACGGAGGCACAGGGATGGGACGGTGCCATTCACCGGCGGCAGTGCACGTGATCTTCTTCCAGACTGAAGAACGGCCCGGAAAATGTTGCTTTAACACACACACACAGACACATATATGTTTAAATAAATCGTACACCTACAAAAACGTTCACACGACCCTGCGACTTTATTGCATAATCTCTCGTGCATCGGGCGTCCGAATTCATGGGTGATGTTACTGGCAGGACTTCGCCTTTATGCCGGTGACGCGAGTCGCCGACGGTCCACCACCTTCCCAGGGCGTGGCGATTCAGAGCAGCAGCAGCAGTAGAAGCAGCAGCATAATCTCTGGCTCCGTCAGAAGCGCTCTCGGTCGCTGACCTTCAGCTGCAGTTTCCCGCTGCTACAGACTCCAGCAGCGTCTTCTCAACAGTTCTCGAAGAGGATCGCTAAACGAACATCCTCGGTGGGACTCAGAATAATCAGACTCATCATTTATCCTGGACAAATCCGATGAGCGATGAAGCTCTTTTTCACAGATCTCCAGTAGCTCCTCGTCGAGGCTGCATTTCAGGTCCCGCATGGTGGGAGCCTGTCCCCGTCACGCCGAGATGATCGGCTCCTGGATCCATGACCCGACCTCGGTCAAAAACTCTGAGCGCAAATGTTTTAATTGCTGGTCAGACATTGTCACTTTACACCCCCCCACCCCCCCCTACTCTCACACTTAAACGTCGATGATTACTATGAACGCATGCCGGCTGAGGGTCTCGTAGCTCTTGGACAGCGGAGGCTTTAGTCGTCTCAGTTGCAGCATTGGTTGGTGATATCAGCAGTGCCGGGCTTATGGTGCCCTCCCTCCTCGTCAATAGAAGCACGTGACACCGGGATTCTCGGCCTCTCTTTCTCAAACTATTCTTTTTTTGTTCCCCTCGCTCGCTCGTCTGGGAATGGTCGCGTTCGCGCCCCGGCTGTTTGGCTTTGTGATATCTAATCGCCTCTCCTCTTCCACTCCTCCCCCCCCCTCCCCCCTTCTTCTGCTTCTTCTTCTTCTTCTTCCCAGCTCTGCTGTGCCTGTCACGAGTTTCAGTTGCTTTGGCGCATCACGTTGCGATTCATCTTCTCGGTGTCATTTGACTCGGAACGACGCGACGGGTGTGCGGTTTGCGCGACTGCTCCCCCGTTCTTGATCCACGTCCCCACGTTGGTTCTGTGTTTACATCCTGCCGGTTGAGAAACACAAACGCAGACAAAGGTCAAATATCCCCCCCCATTAAAAAAACCTCAACAGACTGTTGGGGTCAAGTGCTGTTCGCGAGTCCCACCGTCTCTCACCGACTCGTCCGTCCGCTGCGACGCTGTCAACCCTGTGGGGAAAATCCTGCGAATCGAGGAAAACGGTCGCCTTCCCATTCATCCAGGACCTCAGTGGCGTCCCTCGTCATCGTTTGAAGTCACGCAACACCCTTTTGGAACCATTCGTGTAACCTTAAACAATGCGAATTCAAACCCGATGAAGCTTGCAGAGCTCAATAGAAAAATAACTCAGAAACACCTTGTCGCGATTATAGACCCAACGCAGAAGATCCCCAAGTGTTTGACCTTCCACGAAGATGATGGTCCACCATAAATCGCATCCGTACAAACCAGGGCAGATGCGGATACCTGAGGCACAAATGGAAATTGAAAAAACTCTCCAGTAGTGCGCGACTGTCGTCATTCAGAACAGACCGTAACAACAAATAAAGACTCTTTGGTGCTTTCAGTAAAGTCACGTAGAAAATAAAATCAAATAATAATAGAATACCACGTTTCGGTTACAGCACAAACAACCATCATCAGGTAAGAATGAATGATAAAACACAGACAGGGGAACAGCATAGGCAGACACACATGCAGAGAGAGAGAGAGAGACACACACAAAAACACACCGAGCGAGACACACACTCGCTCGGTGTGTCTTTGTGTGTGTGTGTCTCTCTCTCTGCACGTGTGTCTGCCTATGCTGTTCCCGTGTCTGTGTTTTATCATTCATTCTTACCTGGTTTGTTTGTGTTGCAACCGAAACGTCGTATTCTATTATTATTTGATTTTAGTTTCTACGTGACTTTACCGAAATAACCAAATATTAATTCCTGCAGTCACGAAAGCTTCGAAACAAATAAAGACGCAATGCCCGATCCAGAAATACGGAGACATCTTGCAACGATACACTCCGTTGCTCCTGACGAAGTTACTGTGTCTGGCTTGACCACCTGAATGTGAAATTGTAGTTTGTTCCTCTGCGTCTTCATCAGCAGCCGTACGACAAGAAGCATCATTCAGAGCGAGGCCAACCATACGGTGTCTCTGAAAGTTACTGAAAGTTACTCTGAAAGTCACTGCCATTCCTCTCGCCCGCACTGGAAGAGAAAGAGTGATGGCAATTGCGCGTCCTCGCACACACACACAAAACCTCGTGTCGCTTTTCATCGCGAGGTGGAAATTCCCCATTGCTATGGCAAGGGCCAGTCCTTTCGGAGAGGTGATGAGCCAACGAGACACCCACAGCCAGGATTTGAACGTATCACTTTCCGCCTTGGTGTTGGGCATTCCGATCAATGCACCACCGTGCCGGATCGCATGCTTCGTTACTATTGTAAGTAGTAGCTTACGCTTAAATAAAAAAAAATCACAGAGATAAGTCCGTTAACAAAGATAAAGTATCACCGTCAGCCATGATCAGTTCACTGCTGGATGAAGACCCCCCCGAGCCATTGACACTTTCCGCGGTTCCGCGTTGCAACAAAGGTAAAGATCCCCCGTGTAGCCGTCACCGGCTGTAGGGGCAAGTGCTGTTCGCGAGCAGCACCTATGAAAACCGGCACGGCACAAGAGGTGGTGGATGGTCAGCACCGTGCCAGGCCGCCCTTGTCTCCCGAGCGGTGATGTGTACACATCGCACCAGTGCAACAATCCACTTAGCAGCTGCACTGTAGCCGATTTCATTGCTCCATCTCCACGACGGGCATGGTTTTTTGAGCCCGAGTCTTCCTTTGACCACAACTCCGTCATCATGCGTGGCCATTGGCCACGATTTCTTCTGCGACGAGTTATGACCTCTCACGACATTAACATTTATTTTTATTTTTTACCTGCGTATGCTCTCTGCAAATCCACATCTTCCTCTTTGTGTCTCTCAGTGTGATTGCCAGCATGCATCGCTCTGAGCTGCTGAGTGAACTCTTCACTTTTATCTGGACTTAAAAGCTTTCGTGACTGCAGGAATTAATATTCTTTGGATCTTTCGGTAAAGTCACGTAGAACAATTTTTTTTTAACCAAAAACTACGACGTTTCGATCGCAACACAAGCAATCGTCATCAGGAAGAAAAAAAAAGATCGAAACGTCGTAATTTTTTGGAAATGTTTTGTTCTACGTGACTTTACCGAAAGACCCAGAGAATATGAATTCACTTTTGTAAAATTTTCTTTCTCTGCATCCATAATTTCTGAACGGTTTTCCGAAACAAATAACACGATGTAGGTCGCACTCGTTACACGTAAAGCGCTTGCCCACAAATGAACCAAGATACCTTTCTGATCTCGTAAAGGAGCATAAACCATCATCACGCGAACTCCGGTATTCTTCGCAGCTGCGGCTTTTGGCGAGCCATCGAACAAAGACGGTCAGCACATCGCGCGCTTTTGGACACGCTTCCACGGCCGTCTGGAACGCTCTTCCTTCCGATATTAGGAAGCCACTGGAGCTATGCACTTTTTTATAGATGTATGAAGCACTCATTTCTTTAAAACTATATTTTGTGTTTAGTTTATTGCCCTTCCTCTGCACCTCCGATTAGCATGGTTGGCTACATACGGTGCAAAAAAAAGTTGAACATACTGTACATACATGCACGAAGATGTTTTCAGTCAATTACTGAGTGTTTATACAAGCGGGAGGAAACTGCAGCACCCAGGGAAAAGCCACGCGTGCGAGGGGGCTACACTCTATCCCGTACATACGGACCAGGCGAAGTTCACATTTTTGTTGTAACTGCTTCTCCTAGCGAGCTCCTTCTCCTAGCAAGGTATGGCACCTTCACGACGCCCACGTGTGGAAGGAAGTTTCACAATCCCATTTGTGTGGTGATCGACCAACCCTCTTTGCTGCCTGCACAGTGCTGGACTACAGGCAGCGTAACCATCACCACCACCACCACCACTAACCACGCGAACGTCTCTCTCCGCAGGGGTCTCAATCGCCTCTGAACGCGAATTGGGGCGTCTCTCGCGACCCTGGCGTTGTGTGACGGACTGGCACGGGGCCCTCTCTTGGTCCCTGCCCTCTGGGTGAGCTCGCCAGGGCTACAGATCGGGCCGCTGCATCATCATCATCGTCGTCGTCACGCTTTTTTTAATACTCGAAGAACCGACGGCTGTGGTGACAGCGAACGGGAAAGCCAACGGGGATCGGACACACGGGCACAGATATACCATAGGGACGCGTGCAGTTGGCGGACACCTATGAAGGGCAGAATGACATGCGAACGGGGGTATTTGTGGCCAGCATCAAGACGGAACCCATTGTCTGCTTGGTAATACTGTTCCCACACTTCCATGAGGTACTTATGCAAGGATGAGTTGACCTAGGGGAGGCCCAATGGAGGTTGTGATACGTAAGTTAATTTAAGTTTCGCCTCGCCTGGAATTGAACCATTGCCGAGTGGGTTAACTACTGCACCACCAATCCCCATGCACACACACAAAGACAAAGATCCCCCGCATAGCCTTAACAGACTGTAGGGGCAAGTGCTGTTAGCGAGCACCTATGAAGGCCGGAACGGTACACGAGGGGGTGGGTGGCCAGCACCACGCCCGTCCGCCTTTGTCTCCCCAGTGGCGATGTTTACACATCGAACCAGGTACTCATTTGAGGCTGAGTCGACCTAGGGGAGGCCCGGGACCGGTTCAGATAATCGTCACTGGTGGTGTTGGCCGTGAGCGAGAATCGAACCCGGGTCGCCAGGTTCATAGCGCAGCGTAGCGCTATCCCCTACACTATCGCTCCCCACACATACACACACATACAACAACAACAACCGCCATTCGCCACTAAGTGGCGGTGACGTCACCACGACGCTTGTGCCAGGCTATGTGCACCTTGAGGCCACGTGAAGTGTCGAACGCCCGCTGGCAGGAGGTCACGGGGCAGACCCAGGTGCCACGGGTCGACTGACCGAGATGACTGGCTGATGCACCACCTGTGCCCCCTACTGTGCCAACCTGCTGTGCTTTAGCCACCCGGCGCTCCGCTCGTTGTTCTGAGCGTCGCTCCTCTGCCCTCCGTTGTTGTTGGAGGGCGACTGCCTCCAACTGCCCAGTAGCGTCCTTCACAAGCCTCCTCCACAGAGGCCGATCTTGACACCGCTGGTACCAGTCATCGGCAAGTCCACTGAGCTCCACGTCCTCCTGTACCACATCACTCCATCTCTTCTCTAGCCCGTGCCGCGCCCGCTTAGCCCGCTCAATCCGGCCGAACAAAAGCTGTTTCGGCATGCGGTGGCTGGACATGCGGGCTACATGACCCAGCCAACGCAGCCTTCCCCGCCGGAGGAGCTCACCGATGGGACCTTGCCCAGATCTTTCAAGGATTTGTGAGCTCCTCACACAATCCAGTCTGGTTAAACCCAGGATGGATCGGAGGCAGGCCAGCCTAAATGTTTCTAACCGGCGAAGATGTTCCATTAGGGGGGTCCACGTTTCGCAAGCGTAGAGAAGGGAGGGAATGACCGTGGCCGAGAAGACCTGAAGCTTAGTGCGGAACGACAGACCAGGTAGCTTCCACACAGCGTTACGCAACCGATGAAAAGATATTGCCGCTCGACTGATTCGGAGTGAGACCTCTGCTGTTAAACTGGGGCCGGTCATAAGCACACTGCCCAGGTATGGGGAACTCTCCACTCTCTTCACAACTGCCCCATCACCGATTGGGAGTTGTGGGGGTGGAGTGCCCGATGGTACAAAATACCCAGGCAGGTGCTTAGTTTTGGTGGGGCTGATGGTAAGGCCCCATCTCTTAGTGGCACGCTCCAGTCTCAGCAGCAGCGTCTCCAACTCCTCCTCTGACTGAGCAGCTTTTACCAAATCATCAGCATACATAACGTGGTTGAGCAATAGGGAGCCATCCCTTGACCGCACCCGGGCATCGATCAGCCTCCCATTATATCTGTACCATATGGAGA